TATATCGATAGCCTAAGGATGTAATGATGATGAGATATTTGCGAATAAATGTTCATCGAAAATGACCCAAAAAAAAAAAATCTACCTTTGTGTAATGTTTTGCGCCTAACAGCAACTCGGGTGCTCGATACCAGAATGTCACCACTACGGGATCCAGTTCTGCCAGTGGCTTTAACGGATTATGGAAAATTCTTGCGAAACCCATATCACCTATTTTGACTCTGAAAATACATTCGGTAATATTGTAAAATGAGGGGCAATTATTATAGTTTTTTTTTTCTTTAGTTAAAATGCGTTTGAACGCAGACTCATTTTTGTCCTGCTATTTTCTGACTAACAGCTAGTTCCGGATGGAGAAACCATGCAGCGAAATTTCAAAATCCCAACAAATGGAAAAATTTTTGAAAAGTTAACCTGCCACGTTCTACACCTGGACCTTCGCCCATCACAAGGATATTAGCAGGTTTCAAATCGCGATGAAGAATCCAGTTTGAATGTAAATAATGTATACCATCCAATATTTGATAAAGGAGACTTTTGACCATACCCTACAAAAATTTTCAATTTTGCGACAAAATGTCACGTGCGAGCATTGAAAAAGGCGAAAAACCCTTTATATTATCTGTACGACAGGAAAATAGAAACCGTTGCAGTATTAGTAATTCATGAAAAAAAAAAAATTACGAGGATTTGGAAATGATAAAATGAATTTTTTAACCTTTGGAACAAGCACTGGTTGCTTCTTCTGTTTTGCAGCTCGATGAAATTTGATAATATGCCATAAATCGTGTTCCGCGTAATCAAACAGCAACCATACTTTCCGGTCGGTCGTCAAAAATACCCGTTGCAATTTGATCAGATTTGGGTGCCTGGAAAATATTGACTAAAAAATAACATTTAAACATTACAAAGTTGAAGATTTCGGATACAAAAAACGGATCAAAGTAAGTTTTAAGCTAAAAACAGCATTAAGTAATTCAGAGTATAAAATTTGCCATGAAAATTTGTACTGGTGACTGCTGATAAAATTACGAGAGTTGTAAAATCAAGGAAATTACATCAAATTTTCGAATAAATTACCCCAATTTCGGTTGGTTATGGGAGCTACACAATTAAGGTAATCTAGGCCAGAAGTGTTCAGCTTATCAGGAATGATCATGGACGAAGCGGATTGATTACAAAACGATGCCAACGCAGTGTTAAAACGGTA